TGCATTTCGAGTTTGAGACCCACAACCAGGACTAGGAGTCCAACCAGTACAGGTCTGTGAGTTTGGACTTCTTTCCCATGCAAACGAAAGCAAACACATCTGATCAGCACAACCAAGGCCAAGGTTCTCATCGCAAAGCCAAATGGGTCGGTCAGGCCTGCTCTGAGGTATGTCATTTTGACATCAAAGACTGCATTGTGTGTGTGGCTCCCTTGATGCATATATATATATACAGTATAATTTTTGTGAATGTGCGGAGCCAGTAACAAAATCGTCCACGGGCTGACTGTCCCACTAGGCCTCAGCCTAGGCATGAGGTGCTGAGTCTTGACACTTACCTTGCATGCAGCACCCCGCAGGGCTGCAAACGTTGGTCTATCAGGTGGTAAGTATGAACTAGGCAAGTTTGGGTAGCCACTTGGGCCCAAAGGTCCTGCAAGTGGATTGTGGTCCCATGAGCATGCCATAACTATGCAAAAGATGGCAATTGTTTAGTGGTTGGTGCGGTCCAATGGGGATCAATGGGGAAGGCCGGTTTGTGGGAATGGACGCCTGCTTGATCTCGCCTTGCAGTCTCCCATGCACCAAGGGCGTCTTGGAAGCGCCCCCGCCGGACGGTGGGTGTCGAACCCGAAGGGCGCTGCTCTTCATAGATGACCTGCGTTCCAATACGCGGCATCGGGCTCATGGTTGATGTTTTCCTAGGCAATGCTCTCAGGTGGAGCCTGAAATGACCCTAAATGTCTCTCTACAGGATCTGAAATGACCTGTGGCCTTGGTGTACCACATCACTCTCCAGGTCTCCTCGCTGACGCCCGTGATTCGATCCAAGCAGCTTGACCCGCTGTCGCCCCCGGTCGAAACGCGGGTTGACCGCATCCTGGACCCTCTGACGGCCGGACCTCCGGAATTGGCAAGCTGACTGCCATCATGGCTGACTGCCAAGGGCCAATCATCTTTCACCACCCATTTTGAAGAGTGAAGGTAGGTCACCTGATAAAGTGAACTTCCACCATAGCACCTCAGTCATTGGGGAGACCTATATATTTCCATCTGTTCTATCCGTGTGATCGGCCGCACGAGCTTCGGAGAAGCCATGGGCAGCGAACTCTCAATGAATATACTGAAACATACTGAAACCGAGCACACTCGGCCTCGTGGTCTTTGGCGCGTTGGATCAAACAGCTTAACCAGAAGGTGGCGCCGCCCGCCGCGCCCTCCACGGGGTCGATCACAGGCAGTGCCGGATCTGCACGCCTGGGGTGGACAGGGTCCGTGGCACTCTGGAGCCACCAAAACCCCCCTATAAACAACCTCGTTTTGTTATGTCTGGCTCGTCTTCTACATCTTCGACCAGCACCAGAGTGGTTGAAGGATCTCTGCTCACTGAACAGAAGTAGCCCTGAAACTGCCAATTCAACACAAGATGGAGCCCACGAACCCGGATGCACACACGACCTCGAAAACAAATGGCCAAACCTCCTGGCGTCCACATGTGTCGTGGATGGTGAGGGTCCAGGTCCCAAGGCTTGGAGGGTCAATGAAGGTCAACTGACCGTGTGTGGAGGGAAATGCCACCTCCCCGATTGGCCGAATGCCACCCCACAACATCACCCTCCCCACATGGAAGCTTCTCATGAAACCTCTTGTAAGAGACGTGCCCTTACAAGTAGCCACCACATCTTGGCACTGGCAGATTCTTTCGGATCCCTCCGGTACCGTATCACCAGACCAGACCAGGGAGGGTGGGAACTGCCGTCGTCATGAATCATGGGTCATCATGGGTCAGTCCATCAGATTCAGTCAAGTCACACGCCCGGACTGCAAAAATTGCAAAGCAAAATTCGTTCCAAGGCCACAATGTGCCACAAGAACAGTTTGGAGCCCTGTTGCAGTTTAAAAAAATTATACCAGCATAGACCCCAAACAGTTTTAAAACGATTCGTTTGGACCAGTAGTAGTCAAAAAACATCAAACATCGATTTCTTGGTACGCCCTGCCTTCCCCCCAGGAGCAACCTGCTTTATCAATGATTTTTGTCGGCATCGATATCGCTATTTGTTCGGCCACACTCTTCTCCAGTCAACCGGGCCACAGAGACCAGCCACAGAGTTCAGGGTCGCGGCCAAGACAAGGACAAGAGGAGGACAAGGCCCGGACACAGAGCCGGGCCACGGAGCCCAGCCACAGAGTTCAGGGGCGCGGCCAAGACAAGGACAAGAGGAGGACAAGGCCTGGACACAGAGCCGGGCCACAGAGCCCGGCCACAGAGTTCAGGGGCGCGGCCAAGAAGGACAAGCCGAGCCAGGCCACAGAGCCCTGCCACAGAGTTCAGGGGCGCGGCCAGTGCGTGTGGCCAGCTTTTTTTCCAAGATAGAACCTCAACATTAAACTGTTTGGTGAAAAAGTAACAAAAAAAGTTTCTCGAACAGAGCCCAGCCACAGAGCCCAGCCACAGAGTTGACAGAGTTCAGGGGCGCGGCCAAGAAGAGGACAAGAGGAGGACAAGGCCCAGCCAGCCACAGAGTTGACAGAGTTCAGGCGCGCGGCCAAGAGGCCACAGAGCCCAGCCACAGAGTTGACAGAGGGGCGCGGCCAAGAGGAGGACAACAGGAGGACAAGGCCCAACCGCAGAGCCCAGCCACAGAGCCCAGCCACAGAGTTGACAGAGTTCAGGGGCGCGGCCAAGAGGAGGACAAGAGGAGGACAAGGCCCAGCCACAGAGTTGACAGAGTTCAGGGGCGCAGCCAAGACAAGGACAAGAGGAGGACAAGGCCCAGCCACAGAGCCCAGCCACAGAGTTGACAGAGTTCAGGGGCGCGGCCAAGAGGAGGACAAGAGGAGGACAAGGCCCAGCCACGGAGCCCAGCCACAGAGTT